GGGGGGGGAAGGACCTTTGAATCAACCTTAGAATGATTCCTTTTGTTAAAAACAAGCCAACTTCAAATCAAGATAGCATTCCTTATAGCAGATAGTTTGGTGGGGGTTTTCAAATCCACATCTACCTCTAATTACATTTAGGCCTTCATTATACTGTAACATAAAAACCCAAAGCCAAACAAACTAAACCAAAACAGAAGTTGTTTTTTTAACCTGCTACTTTTCATAGACTTATCAAAGCACTAAAGAACACCATTTCTTCTCCAAAAGGCAAGGAAAAAAATTGTCACACCATCTCAAAACAAAATAGTAAAGAATCATTCCAAGGCCAAAAACTGTTAATGCAGCAAGAAATCTCAAAAATTGCTTCCTTGGCAATTTGGGGGAAAAGAGAGTCTTGACTTTATAACTGAAAGATATTTTCCCATATTACATATAAGACATATTCTTGAGCCACAAATAAATATTTGCTGACTACGGTTAAATCATAAGTCTTCTAAAGGCCAAAGTCCACAAAGCACAAGAGGTACACAGATTATTTCAACATATCTGTCATAAACTATGGGCTTGCATAACCCCACTGTAAATTCTCTATTTTTCCTATTGAAAGAGCATCATCTGAGGTGCCAGATCCATTAAGTCACACACTGTGGTGGCAGGACTTACATTTACATCCCCTGGCATCTCCAAGGTCTGAGGCACTGGAAAATGGAGCCATGAGGACAGCCTTCCTCTCCGGCTGGACAAAGTTGCACCTCAGAGAAGACTGCAGCTGGGCAAACAAGTCCAAGCAAGTTCTATTCTGTCCTACCTTTGAATGTTTCCAAGGGCGTTTATATATGCTTTTCTGTTTGATGGGAAGGTGACAATCAAATGGGTTTCATTTCTTCCTCTAACAGTTTATTTTGAGAATGAGGCAAGTGTCACCTCTTCACCATTTAGAATCTACAGCTCCATGGAGTAAAGACTCCCTTCCTACCAAATGCTTAAATCACTCTCTGCCAGCGAGCTCTGGACAGTCCATTGCAGCCAGTGAGATGTTATGCTTGGAATATCTGACTGCAGGCACAGAAAAGCTGGTATCCAGGAAAGTTGGTAGCGCATGGCTGTATAAACACAATGAACGTTACTACACATTTTCAAATGCTTGCAAGGCCTAGGACATGAGTACATTATCCATCAAGAGAGACACAAAGACTCAAAGAAGCTACATGACTGTAGACCACAGACAGAGGATTGCACTTTTCAGTCTATTCCTAGCACCTATTTGTGCAAGCCCTTA